CACAGTATTGTGATTGAAGGGGTTGGTCGACATAATCTAGGGATAATATAATATCTCATAGTGGCAGTTATCCCAATCTGATATTTTAACGTAATTATTCCGGACCCAATTATAGAGGGTGAACTATTGGAAGTCTATGGAGGATTGACAAAGATAAGCTTTTAAAAAATGGGTTTGCTACCATAGGAGATTATTTTTAAAATATTCCCTATCTTCCTCAAACATATTTTTTACTACAAAGTCTATAATTACATAGAGCAGTAATTGACAACTATGTATGTAAAGACTGTTTGACACAAATGCTTTTTTGTTTCATAGCCACCTTACTTTTTTTATGCAATCTTGGCCTTATTCTCAATTTTAGAGCGGAATTGGTTAGTTAACTGTGATATATGTATTTTTTCAGAATGACAAGCTCCATAAAATGTTAAAAAAAAAAATAAGGACAGGAACAAATTCAAATGAAACAGATTTTCGTTTTTTTACGGATATCTCTGAAACTAATCAAAATTTTCTGGATTTTGAAACGGAACTCCGTATCTCCTACGGTGTCCGAGATCACAATAGTCCCCCTCGGATTTGGGCCAACCTGTTAAAAAAAACTAACTTGATGTCTGATTTTAGTAGATGTGTCAACGTTGCAATTTTAAGGAAGCAGATTTCATCAAAAATGCCAGGAAAAAAGTTCAAAAAATTTTCTTAACATGTTTATATCGAAAGGAATTGAAAATTTGAGTATTTCAAAAACTATTTTAAGCTATAATAATAATTTTATGTTAATATTTTGTTACACCGCGAACTAATCATAATTCCACGTGTGTACTTTTTATCATAGTAAATAATGTGTTACAGCAATTACATTAATACAGATTATTATACAAAATTGTTGAAACTGTTAATGATAACTGAAACAGAGGGATGTAATTTGAGATATACATATTGCCCCAGTTTTTACTTTTTAATTGTCATTTTTAACTTTCAATATCCGCTCACCCTCTTCGCCTCATTCTTGGTGAAAATTGTGTCCCTAACGAAAAGCTGGCCCTAAAAAAACCTTTACTGGAAACATCAAATTGTGACACAGTTGCCATTTCAATGCACCTCTAAAATGGTGAGTACACCATATCACCTTAGTTGGCGTTGATTACACAAAAAAGAAATTGTTTTTTAAATATTAAATATCAATTCTTGTCAAATATCCGCAACAAATTTTCTCAAATAAAGATAAAAGAGTAATAATATACTTAATAACAAATTCTAAAGGAATCTTAGCTAAGTTTGGCATCATTTAAAAACCAAGAATAACATATGGAAGCATAATAGAGAATAAATAAAAAATCAATTTCCTTAAAAAAAAAACAAAATAAAAGTAACAAGTCTAAGCGAGCTACTTAGGCTTTAAAGAAATTTATTTCTCTTCATTTAACAAACGTATTTTCTTCAAAACTCCATTGCGATTGATCTTATTTGTCAGTTAAGGTGATAATTTTTTTTCTTTAACATTTGAACTTTCTAGGATGCGAAATAGAAGAAACTGCGGATCAATGCAATCAGAACAAAAGGAACTATTTTTGGGTCTAAAACAAAAATGGTGGCCAAAGACGAAACGTCTCAGAATAAATGTCGATATGTCATTGCGTAGGCTGAAAGAGGTAGCAGTGAAAATGTGTTTTTGGTTTTATAATTTGCAAGATCCCAATATATATTGCAATCCCAATATGCATAGCAATAGGGCGCTCTTGAAGAAGCGTAAAGAACAGCCCTACTATAGCCATAGTGATTACTTAATAAGGGGACGAGACTACGGAGATCTTCTTAGTCAAAAAAAATCCTGTACCTGCAGTGACAATCGGTCGTTGCTTCTTTCTGCGCAGCTCAAAAATAACGGGCATAGTTCTGAAGGCGTGATATCAAAATGAGCCTAACGTTGCTTTTTAGGAAAAATATCTACCATAATTCCAAACGCTTCTTAACTGGTTCGAAAATAATTAATAATAAGTCGAGTGCTATATGAAATTTGCGTGATCGAGTTCTACAAAGAATTGATAAGCGAAACATCTATACAAAATGAATTCGGAATAGGTCGCAATTTATTCCAAGAACAAATTGTTAATGGGACACGAACCCGTCCAAAAACTTCGAAAACTCCAAGAGTCAGATGAATATTCTGTAGGTTTATTATAGCACTTAATTAGAGCGTCGAAACACTATACCCACAAGCTCTTATTAGATGGACTGTTTCCAAGTGCCAGGTGGTATATACTTAATTTTTCAAAGCAACTTACACAGGCTACTGTAATACTTTTCATAAAATTTCTGGATTCCTCTTGCGTCGGTTTTTGTTGAGTCGAATTAGCTAACGTTTCGCCAATCATCCTGTTGGCTTCTTCAGAGCTTGACTGAAACTGGCATGCATTTTCCTCTGTACCTGCTTTTATACTTTTTGAGGGGGTCGAAGCTAAATTAGGATGACTGATTCCCATATTCGTGACAGGCAAAGACCTTAGTCGCGGTTAGGATTGCTAGGTTGCTTATAGATTTGAAGAAGAATTGATTACATGCAAGAATTTTAGTTTTATTTAATAAAATTTGATATCCGGTTTCGTGATTCACCACAACCTTCCAATAGCAATGAAACAGAAAACAATCCCACACTTGACACTCTTGTGCTTCGTTATAGTCAAAATATCACTGACCACATATCAAAAGTTCTAAGGAAATATAACGTCAAAACCAAATTTACCACATGTCCAAAAATCTGTCAACATCTTCGATCCGTCAAAGACAAAATTCCATTTGAGATGGCAGGAGTTTACAGCATTCTATGCATATGCGGCAAAGAATACATTGGAGAGATCGGAAGAAAAATATCAACTAGGCCCAAAGAACATGAAAGAGGCTTAAGACTAAGACAAATAAACTCATTAACAGTTGGCGAACACAATCAAGAAACCGGACATAAAAATTTTATTCGATAAAACTAAAATTCTTGCATTTAATCAATTCTTCTACCAACGAAAAGTCCGAGAGTCTATAGAAATCTAATGGGTGTTTTTTTTCGATGTATAGAACTTTAAGTTCGCATTACTGTTCAAGATGGCGACCGATTTAACAGCTGTCAAGTGATTTATTCTCAGTTTGGTTTGGCAGTTCATCATTAATAGACTCACGCCTGAAGAACACTTGCAAATAGTGCAATTTTATTTCGAAAATAATGGTTCTGTGCGGAATACGCATCACGTCCATTTTATCGTCGACAAAATCGTCCATCAGAGCAGTTAATTGGATTAACCATGGAACGTTTTCGCACCAAGTTTACTCTTATTGATAACTCGAATCCCCAGAGACGCCGTACGGTGCGTACAGAAGAAGCTATTGCTGCTGTAGAGCGTAACATTGAGGAAGACCCGAATGAGTCCATCCGCCATCGAGCACAGGAATTGGATCTGTGTCCATCCACTTTATGGAAGATTTTGCGGAAGGATCTTGGCTTACGTGCTTACAAAATCCAACTCGTGCAAGAATTGAAGCCAAACGATCATCAAGTAAGGCGTAGATTCGTCGAATGGGCCCAAAACGAGATTGCCGTTGTTCCCGATTTTCATAAGCTAATTTTGTTTAGCGATGAAGCGCACTTCTGGTTGAATGGCTACGCCAACAAACAAAACTGCCGCATTTGGAGCGAAGCTAATCCTCAAGTGTATGTCGTTACATCCAGAAAAACTGACTGTTTGGTGCGCTTTATGGGCTGGTGGAATCATTGGTCCGTACTTCTTCAAAAACCATGATGGCCAGAACGTTACAGTCAATGGTGATTGGTATAGAGCTATGATTACTAACTCTTTCATTCCTGAATTGAATAACCATGATGTCCCGGAGATGTGGTTTCAACAAGACGGCGCAACATGTCATACAGCTCGTGCCATAATCGATTTATTGAAAGACACGTTTGATGACCGTCTAATTTCACGTTTTGGATCTGTGAATTGGCCTCAAAGATCTTGTGATTTAACACCGCTACCCTACTTTCTGTGGGGCTATGTAAAGTCATTGGTCTATTCGGATAAGCCACAAACGCTTGACCATTTGGAAGACAACATTCGCCGTGTTATTGCCGATATACGGCCACAAATGTTGGAAAAAGTCATCGAAAATTAGACGTCCAATCCGTATATCCGCACCAGCCGTGGCGGTCATATGCCAGAAATCATATTTAAAATGTAATGCAACAAGACTATCTTTCGGATAAATAAAATTCATGTCAATCGTCATCGTTGTTTTATTGCAACTTAAAGTTCCGAGATGATGTAATTTGAGTAATTACACATTCTTAATTCAAGTAAGACGTTATTAATGCATTTTTTTTCCTAGAAATGTGAGATTATCATTACGCTTACGCCCAGGCAACGTCCCTCCTCGACATCGATATATTCATTACAATAAAGGACAATATAATGAACAAACCATACATAAAGTGATTAAGGTACCTTTCGAAATAAATTCTTTTTTAAAATTACCAACCACAGTTCAGGCACATTGCTAGCTAATCAGGGTGTTGACATTAGACAATTAAAACAAAATGGTGGTCGAACTTCATATCAAAGTTCAGAACAGAATATTAATACCTCTTCAAAAATAATTTATCTTCCTCGTTCGCGGTTGAAAGGATATACGTTGTTTCAATTGATTCGGGACAAAAGTGGTTTTACTTGCTTTCACTGAAACGTGAACTTAAATTATGTACCAGATTGAAAGATTTTTCCTGGTCGCTGGTATTTTTTAATGGGATTTATTGAAATACATTTTTTCTAATTAAATTTAATTCATAATTTCATTTCAAAAAGACGTGAAAGCTCGCGTTGGTCTATACAAAAACAACGACCACGCGAAAGGAAAAGTGTTTTGAAGCTCTCGGGACAGCCGAGAAATTCGTTTTCCTATGGGAGAACGAGCGCCCGTGAAAATCGAACACGTCCACGCGGAAACGAGATTGTACTTACCGCAGGCCCATTTTCCGAATAGAGTTATATCTGAAACAGAAACAAACGAATTAATTCAGTCAAATAATGAGTAAAATAAATACGGCGTGTTTCAACAACGGAAGCACACTTTTCGACGTTTTCATTTTACTAGTTTAAATCGTCTGGCTTGCTAAATTTAATTAAAACAGACGAGGAGGGTATAAGTTGAATTGTTAACTCCCGAGGGCACTTCGGTAAAGAATGCAGCGGGCTTGGCACGTTGTCGTGTATATTTTATGCTCACCGAAACTCTTAAGTGGGAATTAGGCGCAGCTAAAACCAACTAAAAACTTGATTTTCGAAAAAATAATCAACTCAAACTGATTTGCTCCTTTTTTCAACTAACCTTTTACACACGTCAATAAAAGTATTGTTTTGTGCACATTATGTTCGATTTATGATGGTTTGACAGCGAATCTCCGTTATTAATAAAGCTAACCTGTTGCTTCTTTCGTGATCTGCTGAAATGCGAAATTTTAAATATGACCCTGTATCTCAAAATCCAAAGGTAGTTTGGAATACGAAAGCCTCAACACGCCAGCTTTATTAATAAGGGACACACTGTACAGGGTGGCTTGTTTATTATGGGATAATTACTACTTAACTCAGAATCTGTTGAAATATTAAAAAAACAAAGAGGCAAAAGTTGTGAAGATTCATTTATACTTTTGAAATATAATATTATTATATATAGAAGGTGTTTCTATTTTAGTGTGCAATTAAAATCTTTATTATTTTAAATAAAAAAAAAATAAATAATTTTTTAATTCTTCTGAAAATTTTAGGCAAATTTCATATAAAATATCTCATACCTCAGTTTTACCGTTTCTGACATATTTTGAATTTTATGTGAAAATACACCTATTTGTTGTATGTCTGGCGTGGATTTCCTTATTGAAGATTACGTGTTGACATTTTCGGAATAAATAAATACAGGGTTCAAAAGTAACATTGAAAATATAAATTGAAAAGTGTGGTAAACGGCATTTGAGTCAGGAATTTATTTGGCACCAGCGAAGCGAGTTTTTAATAAACGAGTGACTTAAAAAATTTACCAAATGTGTTGCATACTATACGAATACATTCACTGACATGTCAAAATCGAGAAATATCAAAATTCAAATCGTGCGGTAAAATCTGAAAAAATACGACTGCTCAAAACCCGTACGTTAATATGCTGGAAATGCCTGAAGTGGCTCAGATCCGTAAGACAAGAAATTCACCTGATAAAGTGACCTTTCCCGCGCGCTAGATCGGTGTATAATTGGGAATTTTGCAGAAGGGAAAAAAAGATTTTACCTAATACCTATACCTAACTATACACCAAAGTGTATAGTTAGGTACTTTACCACGTAAGTTTCGTTTCCCACGGATCCCAGCCACTTCGGACATTTTCGAGATATAACCGCACGGGTTGGGCAGCAATCGGATGTTTTCGGAGATTTTCCCGCACGGCTTGACTTTTGACGTTTGTCAATTCTGACGGTCATGTCAGGGAATTTATTAGTGTACCCGAAAAGTAACGGTTGTTAAAAAAGTATAGTATGCAACACGTTTGGTAATCTGTTTATTTCATTCATTTATTAATATTAAGCACTCGCTCCTCTCGTGCCAATACTATAATAGCATATTATGGTAAACGGTATACGTGGTAAACGGCATTTGAATCACGAGTTTATTTATCAGGAATAAGCCAGTACATAGTAAACGAATGATTTAAAAAGTATACGAAACGTTTTTGGGTACATTTTTGCAAAACAACGCGAATACATTCACTGAAATGACCGTCAAAATTGACAAACGTCGGATTTTTTTTTTGACGTATGTTGGGAAACGAAACTAAGTGGTAAAACAACGCTTTCCGCATGCTAGATCGGTGTTTAATTGGGTATTTTATGGAAGGGAGTAGAAAAAAGTTATATTTCAAAAATTTCGTGTTTAAAAAAAAGTGACTTTGTATAATATTGCCTATTTGAAAAAGTTGTAGATTTTCAAATTAAATAAACAATTGGGACACAAAGAAAAAAGAATCCTACCCTATATACCGTATATATTGTTTTGAAAATCACAGAACGACCTTATCCCCTTCAAAATAGTCTCCATTACAACTAATACATTTGTCCCAGCGGTGCTTCCACTGTTCGAAACATTTTTTATATTCATCTTTGGCTATAGCCGACAGTTCATCCCTCGTTTTTTTCTTGACCTCTTCAATGTTGTCAAATCGCTGTCCTTTTATGTCCCTTTTCATACGTGGAAATAAGAAGAAATCACACTTAGCGAGATCAGGCGAGTAAGGTGCATGAGGCAGAGGAACCATGCCATTTTTAGCCAAAAACTGAAAGAACCAGTCCCCTGTCCGCCGCAAATCGGGTCTTTTTTGTCGAATACTGTTGCGCAATCTTCACCTGGTGGAACGAACTCTGCATGAACTCCGCCGCTGATGTCGAAAAAGCAAATCAGCATCGTTTTGATGTTTGATTTGACCTGACGACATTTTTTTTGACGGGGAGACAGTGACGTCTTCCATTGGCTGGACTGTTAGTTCGTTTCTGGATCAAAACCATAGCACCATGACTCGTCACCAGTAATGATCTTTGAAAGAAAATCTGGATCCGTTTCAAGCTGTTGATTCAAAGCACGACATGTTTCAACTCGATGTTATTTTTGCATTTCAGTCAGAAAACGAGGAACAAACTTGACAGCAACTCTTTTCATTAACAAATCTTCTGTTAAAATTCGCTGAACCGTGCTCCAAGACAACCCACTAATCTTTGATAATTGTTTAATTGTCTGTTGACGGTCTGTGAGCACAAACTATCGAATCTTTTCAATATTTTCGTCGATTCGAGAAGTCAACCGACTCGTTGCCATTTTTGAAGCGAACAAAACACTGATACACTTGAGTTTTTTCCATCGCATCGTCTTTATAAGCTGTTTTTAACTTGCCATCGAAAAAAACGAAATAACAAAAAAAACAGCGTTAACAAAAAATGGCGCTGCAATTGAAGAAAACAAGTTAATTTAAAACGAAGGTCGCGTTGAACTCGCAATAAGTTGTATTATCCACAACCTAGAAGCAGAAAGGTGTACTATTCAATTCCGGTTTTGGGTACCCCCTCGTATAAGCCGGGTTAGAAGAATTCTACTGTATCGCGAAGTCTCGATCGCGCTCAGACAAATAAATTCAAAGAGAAATAAATTCGCCTGAAATGTTTTTAGCTTTATTACGGCGCAACCTTTCCCCTTAATGGTAGAAAAGCAATTCGTCAGCAATACAGAGAAACGTACGATTCGGGAAAATAAAGGCCTTCGCAATTCAATTAATGCGCTGCGAGCCGAAACTGAAATAAATGTTATGGAACGGCCCCGGCTTCGACACTGCAAACTAACGATTAAAATTCCACGAAGGGTTTATTAAAAATTTACCAAAATACAATTTCGCTTCTCATCCGCTCATTTTGCGAAGACTGTTTAAGCGCACGCCTAATCCTCCGAAAAGGAATTTTTAATTCGAAAACTTTTTTTACCTAAAGGTGTATGAAAATATTAACATTCCGTTACGATGCACTAAGCAAAACCAACTAATTTTACTCTACGAATCTAAAATTGATTGATTTCCCGCAAATTATTATATTATATTATCAAAAAGTATATACCAAGTTAAATTCAAGTCTAAAAAAAATAATTCATATTTTAATTGTAATTAATATATACACAAAGTATTTTATAAAAATAATGATAAAATTACAGCATTAACTTTTATTAGAAAAATAGACAATAAAATTTTTGCTACCTACAATTACACACTTCAAATGTTAAATAAGAACTGTATGTTTGTTGATTGATTCAGAGTTGAGATTCACGCCACATGGTATTAACTGTCTAAACAAAGAGCACATAAATTTAAAATTAATTTTTGCAACCATTCAATTTTCTGTAGACAAAAATTTTTGCTGGATCATATGGCTTTGGCGAATATCAACATGATAGTCACACTCTATAGCTCAAAACAAGTGGTTAAACCTACATTCTGCATTTATCTTTTGTAATATAATTGCCATAAAGACGCCACTATATCTACAGCCTTCGAAAATTAATTCTCTGTATCCGTATTTGTAACTGGGGGAAGGGGTAGCCTACACTAGAGCACTCAGACCTGAGCAGGTCCACTGTGATTCCTCCTGGACAGAACACCCATCTTTACATCAAGCCTAGTTACTCAACGATTCACCTCCCCGAGTACCGTAGGGGATGGGTAGGATTCGCCACGCATGCCTTCACTCCTAAACAAGCGGTTATTACAATCGTCCAGAACGTGTTTCGTATTCCTGTTCGCACACCCTGTATGTGAGGGTCCTACTCTAACCCAATCTGAATTGGTGTTGGTTAAGTAAGCAATGACCCAAAAGAATGTCTGTTTTTTTAGGATAGCTCAATAGGTGCTGCTCGCAACAGCTCTTTAATGACTGACGTCGATAGATAGGCAGAAGGGTCCTACAAAGTTTAGGCCGGCAGCCCTCCTGGCCAGGGATTCGGCGGCATGTTTTCGTCTGGAATGCGAATGCTCTTTACTCCAACTAAGGGTGACCACAGTGTTGATTGGCACGTCAACAAAGGCACGGTGACATTCTAGTGCTAGTGCTGATGTAAAACGTAGTATATGAAGTATCAGATCTACATGTACAGTTTCACCAGTATGTTTGGGTCTGCTGATTTATTTTGCGGCTACAGTAATGCCAGCCAGCAACGATTGAAGTACAATCCGCATCCTTTTCCTTTTTTACACTTCGAACCAACTAAGTAGACATTAACACCTGTCTCGCTCATGCATATGTTTGCTCTGATGTTTGTCCCGTAGATCTTGTCGAGTGTAAATTTTGGTGTGATGGAATCCGCCCTCAACTCCAATAGTGCGAACGAGTTAGTCGCCTCATTCCAGAAGCGATTCCGTCATGCTGCATTCCCTGCGCTGGAAACGCACCACAGTCATAAAAACAATCTCTTCT